TTACATGAAGACAATACATAATGTCTTACATATGCGCATCAAGTTACTTTATGATCAGAGAAAAATGGTCGACTGGCAGCCATTTTGGATGTAAAATTTGCTATTTCTGATACCTAAACGTGTCCGCAGCAGTTTCTCGAGATGACTGGGCCTGATTTGGATCAAAGTTGGTATGATGATCATACATATTGGGTTGCAGATGCAAGACTATTTACGTCTAAATGCAGCACTGTTTTTGTACTAAAATATCTGAATTACTTTAATAAAGCTGGAAATATTCAAATAAGGCTCTTTAAAATAATTAAACAAATTGGGCACCAATGTTTTTGTAAAATATTTACATCAATCAAGTACATTCGGTAGACTGCTTTCCCACTGTTGTTTCAACCCCAAAACTTGTTTGCATTCAAAATGAATTATCACAATGGTCCATTCCAGTTTATATCTGCACCCCCCTGTTGATGAGGTCGGATTTCCAGCACTGTATGATGGGGAAAATACCCCGGAATTCCAACTGTATATGGAGAAACAGAATCTGGAAATCCAGACGAGTATGGAAAAACAAATTCTGGATGGCTACCAAATAAAATATGGCCTCGTTTATCTCGCCACATACCGGTTGATGAGGTTGGATTTCCAACACTGTATGACTAAAAAAAACTTGGAATTCTGACTGTATATGGTAAAAAAATTGGGCCAGTATGAAATAGTTATTACTGAAATTAGATAAGGATTGTGGGACAAATGAGCTCATCAACACCGTGAATCAGGACTAGTTTGGATTTCCATTATCAAATATAAAATTTTGAACTTGGTAAATTAGCATGTGATGAGAGTTATATTTGGAAATCCTACTCTGTATGGTGGCACAAAAGAACTCAACACCGTCAAGGCCATATATTTCTTGCTCAAAGACGTGTGTTGTGTGACAATCATGGCTTGTTTAATATAGTATGTTTGTGCAAGTGGGAGTGGATTGACAGTTTGTATATGTAATTGTTCTACGGTAGTATATTTGATTGTTAGCCCTTGCTTGGATGCAGTCTGAAAACAGGGACTCATAATAAACAGCACCAAAGTGACCATAATGTTTTTTTCAGATCTGATTCAAAATAGTCTAATACAAATGCTGATCTTGAGACGTGCCTCATATGCACTTTGACCGATCACAATGAAACTATACAACTACATTGTACATCATATTACTTGTATTATGTTCTGATTCAAAATGACTGATTCATTTCAACCTTATTTACTATTGAACCAACTGGAACTCTTTTATGACTTGTATAATAATAATAATCTTTATTGTTATCGTATCCTCTATGGGACTTTGATTTTAAAATAAAATAAAGGTATAGCAAAGAAAAAAAAATTAAGAGTATAAAACAAAGTTATTAATAAAATATAATAAATTAAAGTAAAAGTTTTTATTTATTTTGAGGCAGCTGGTACTGTAAAATCTGTATCAGAAGCTGCGACTTCTATTAAAATGTTACAATGCAAAAGAGGTTATGCGGCTTTTATTAGAGCATCTAGACAAATGAGAAACGATGGTTTTTTGGTTCTCAATTGTTTAAAAAGAATAGGTGCGACTTCTATTAGGGATGCGGCTTCTAATACAGATTTTACGGTAGTACTATTTTAGCATGTTTCTTTGTACTTTTTCTCTATTCGATTGAAACTTAGTACATGCTCACTGTACTCATCCGACTTATCACCCATGGTACTCAGCTCCAATGATAATGTGTTATTTAGAGATGGGCACTTAGCCGAGCACCCACCTTGCAAAAATAGAAAAATAGGTTTTTGGAAAAGTCGATGGTTAATGACTAGTATTTATGATTACTGTAAAATTATAGCTGGAATTAATTTTCTTTATTAAGTTTTTTTTGGGTGTTTATTTTTGAATGAATTGAATGTAAACATAGGAAAAAAGGTATATTCGCTTGATTTTACTTTCACTGAATCACCCCTTCAACGAAAATAGCGAAAATAAATTGCAAACAATAATTAATTATTCAGACAAATTTGGGGCATTTTAGAGGGGATGAGCGCTCAATCAAGCATGTTGGATGAATATAATTGTATTTTTGAGTGTCTAGTATTAGGCCACACCGACTTCATTTTATGGATGACATCCGCGCGCGCATTAGTTTTCGCCTGTTCTCAAAAAAAAAAAAAAAATCCCTAACGGCGAGTCTCCACAGATCGGTTTTCTGTTCGGAACTTGCCGACTCATATTGTCGAAAAGCGCCGGCTTGTCGTAAAACCCTTTTTGGACTATCTAAAAACATGCAATTTTGTCCTAAATAATCTTCTACACATCCGTATTGCGTTGCTGGGAATACGTAAGCATAAAAGTTCAGAGGAAAAACATAGGGATTGTTGTAGACTGGTATGCAATTTACGTTGGCCAGGGACACAGATATGTTTACACAGATATACAAGAGATTGGTTAAAGCTAACCCCTAATGTGTAGAGAGGAGCAAGCAAGAACATTTCTGTATCATTGCAATGTTTTGTTTGTTATTGTCATAAAGTAGTGATATGTACATTCCGCCTTGACTTGTACTGAAAATGGTGTTCATGCTGTACCTTGAATGCAGTGTTTCTGACTGAAGGTACTTTATCATGACTACATGTACTAGAGCCTGTCTGAAATGGTTATACCTGTGACAGTATTAAAGACAGTACGAGATGTGTATATCAACATGTGTATACAAATAAAGACTTCTTGTTGTTTTTTTGATACACTGTGTTCTGTGGTTCAATTTATATAATAACCAGCCCCGTAGTCCTGTGGTTTTAGCAGGATTTTTTTTTTTAGCAGGATTTTTTTTTTTTCGCCCTCTCGCATTAGTTTTGGGGTCTCCAGAGGATGTCATCCATAAAAGTAAATCAGTGTGGCCTTAGTATTACTTGTAAATTTATCTAAACATTTTAATTAAAATTAAATTAAGTTTAATTAATATGCAGGTTTATTAATAACCAGTCATTGAAAATGACACAGTCCCCGTTAAATTAAGTTCTCTTTGTGCTCGTCATATTAAAGTGGAGGGGTTGTCGCGAGCGTGTCCTTGAAACCTAAGTTCCAAGTGGCGTATGCAACAGATTGTTTATTTACATCAAAACACATGTTCCGTGTAGTAGTAATATGGCCAAAAATAAAAACAGCCGTTATTCGGCCATCTTTGATCTGATTATGAAACACACTGATATATATAATGTATGGGCTTGTCAGGAATCCAAAGTTTAATTGATTTCCAAGTATTACACCCTCCCTGTTAGGCTTATAAGGTTTTAAATGCATACGTGATTTACATAGAAAGGGGAATACTTTGTGGCTTGTTATAGGTGGAGAAATAAAGAAATACTTAATACATATATTGCATGCACGAATTGTTACATTCTTCGCAAAGAGAGCAGCCTGATTGGACGACAAAGAATTTACCTTGGGTGAGATTTGTATCTAAATACTATGGTACCGAAGACTTGATTCCCGAGAATCAGAATGAATTTGAGGTTAATAAACTTTGGTGAATTTGGTTAGACAGGTCAACAAACTCAGTTTTGCATTTCTGTCAGTTTGCATAACATTCCTGTCGCACCTGATGTGGTAGTTTCTCGCAATTCTTCTGGTTTCGACCAATTAGAAATGAGCAGTGTAAACAAAGGGGTGTC